CCTAGCCTAGTAGATTGTGTGCGCTTCAGCTTCATGGTGGGATGGCAGAGGGGCTGGAGTTCCAGCACAGGCTCCCCAACACTGGGAGAGGAGAGAAGCCCTGAGCCTGTGGGGCTGTATCCAAGCAAGCTGGGGGCTGCCTTTAGCCCCTGGGTCTTGTTACTCTGTACCAGAGTAACGAAAAACAAGTACAATACATGGGGAAGGGGATATACAGGTTAAGTATTAATAATTTGGGATAGGGATTGTCCCCTTCACGTCAGGTTTCACACAAACATCATACAGGAAACACTCGCCATTTGCAGTGGATATGTTCCTGCATCCACTGCAAATGGCAAAATTCATGACTACTGGGAGCTGCAGCTCTCAGCCTCCATGGTGAGCTCCACACAGTGAGATTGGGAGCCGGGAGCGGGGGGAAGGAGAGAGAGAGAGAGAGAGACACACACACACACACACTCACCGCAGCTGCCAGGAGTTGCAGGGAACTCACTGTGCCTCTTGGCAGGCATGGGGAACTGACTCCCGTGGCCATGAGCTACAGTGAGCTCCCTGAGGCTCCTGTCCCCCGCCCCTCCCAAGCCACAGGAGACCCACACATCGCAAAGATCTCCTGTACACATTACTGCAATAATAATAATTAGCTCAGCATTTAGCTTGTTCATTCCCTCTGACAGCTCCCATCTGCCTAGGGGCAAACCTCACACGTGATGCAAACACAGACCTCTGAAAGGATTGAAAAGTCACCCCAGACAACTCAGCCAGCCAGTAAAATCAATGGAAACCACGCCGCGTAAATGAATCAAACTGCCACTACAACAGCCCTTTGTTTAAAACTTCTAGCAGTTTGTACCAAACAGCCTCTCCTCACAGATCATATCTACAGCCGTCAGATGGTGGAGGAGTTATCCTGTCCTGGAACAGGATAGAAACCAGTCAACTCACTCTGCTACTAGACTGCCTTCTTTTTTACAATATCAGTGCAAGAAAATCCTTTGCAGGCTAGGGCAGCGAGACAGTTAAAGATTCTTCCTTTCGGCAGGAGGTGGATAAGTTCTATTCAACCAGGAGGAAAAGCAAACACCTCCCTGCCCCCTCCTCTCCCCAACCTTCAACCTTAGTTGACAGGAGCTGCTCTGGCTCAATTGCTTCCAGATGCTGCCTTCTGACAGAATGCACGGCCAGGCCTCCTGGGGTTTGGGTTGGATGGAAATGGTGATTTTGTACCCTCCCCCTCCCCGCCGCCAATACTATCCTGAAGATTAACCCACGCTACAGCTTTCTAGATTCAGTTGCAATCCACCGAATAAGAACGGCCATGCTGGGTCCGTGCTGGCACCCTTCATCTGCTCCCTGACGGCTCCCACCATACCAGTAATCCTCAGTGCTCCCACTCCTGCTGTAGACTGGACCGTCTAGGTCTCTTGGTCCTGGGAAGATGTTCTCGTGTTGGATGATGATGGTTTTGATCAGCTCATTGACATGAGCCTGGCAGGAGACCTGATCGTGACCTTCAGGCACAGACATCAGCGTGGGCCCAAAGCAGATGGCTAAGTTGTAGGGATCCATCATGTTCTCTTCACTGAACTGTGATAAACTGCAAGAGACAGGGATAAGAGGGCGAGAAGAGGATTAATATGAGGCAATGTACTGACCCCTCATGCTAGGGAAGCAAACATCTAAACCGAGAGGGTTAGTTTTTGGTGCTCTGCTCTTGAAGCCCCTTCTGTTGGGAATGGAATGTTTTGGGTCAATAAAAGATCGAGATGACCTGATGGTATTTACTGGGGAGGGGGAGTTCCTCTAGATGCGCCTCCCAGGATCTGAGTCTCATCTGAAGCTACTTACATTAAGACAAATTCCTAGTTGTAATCTGTATGGAAAACAAAGAAAAAACCCAACTTTGCTGCTTGCTGACATGCTGTTTTCTTTATTCAATCAGTAAGGCAGTTTCCATTTCCCTAGCTTCCTCCTCAATCAGCGCACACAGCACTGGTAAAGAAAGAAAATGTCAGACGGTTCCTCTTTTCAATAGCTGTATTCTTCACGCAGATTGCATTTCATTGCTGGGGATTTATTTACATGCGGCTGACTCTGCACCCTGCTCCGATAGCAGCTGCTGCAGTAACACCTTACATCCAGTCAAAAGGCCAAGGCGGACCTGAGGGAGCCACTGCTGCTCCGCAGATCACAACAGGGAGCTGGCAACCAAGACGCCCGTCTGCTTCTTTCCATTTGCACCCTCCTTGAAACGGAGTGCTTTCCAAGCCCAAAGGCTCCCAACAGCACAAGAATAAGCCAATGCTCATTATGGAAGCTGCCACTGAGGGCTTGTAGTATTAGCGACATACTAAAACCTTTTCAATTTGAAAAGCAAGGCCAAGTGGAGCTAGAAACCTCCAAGAGATTGTAGAGGCTCGGGGATCATATTGCTTAAAAAGGCACCAGGGAGCTGACAAAGCAGAAGCATATCCTGCTTTCTGACTCCGTATAATCTCTCGATAGCCCTGCATCCAGTTCCAAAGCAAAGCCTTAATGTAACTCCAGGTCAATTTTGCTACATTAAGGATCCTTAACGTCTTCTCTGCCTGACTTGGTGCTTGGTAACGTGAGTTAGGTGTATTGCAATCTAAACCAAACCCCTCCCCCAAAGACCAAGGTGTTTTCTGCGTGCAGCTTTTCCAGGAGCCCATCTGTAGGATTTACCAAGTTCAGCCAAACACCAAGTCTCTGCATTGACCCTTCTTTAAAAGGGAATACATTTTACTCCCAAACCTGTAATTTAAGCCTTCTGAGGCACCCATGAATGGTTAAGCACCAGAGAGCTAAGTTCCAGGACAACCCCCTTGAAAGGCCCTGCTTTCCAGTTCACTCCTTAGAGTAATTAAATATTAAGGCTGGAAGGGAACATTTAATTCAATGACTTCTGAGGGTACGTCTGTGGAATCATCATCCCAAGGCACTGAAGAATTTCACACCACCACTGTGGAAAGTTTCTCTTCTTGCATTGCAGAGAGCCTCTTTCCTATGTCATAGCTTGGATGGAGAGAAAGACAGCAGTAGCTCTGGGACCTTTTTTATTTTCTACAGTGCAAAAATGATTTCTTCCATATATAGGATAGGATTCAACAAATACCCTGGACCATTTTAAACCCACTACCAGCTTTACCTAAGAGACTGGACATCTCAGGAGTAGCTGACGTAATAGCATCCCAAATACAGGTAACAGAACTCAAATGTCTCAATTGTTTAATGCAGATGGCCACATTAGCAGTAAAACCAAAATATCTTATTTTAGTAACCTGTTTTCATCCTGAAAGAAGCCTGAAGAGCTTTGCAAATTTACAAATGCAGGAATCACTTCAACAGCCATAGAAATGCAGCTTCCTCAAAAGCTGGGACACGTCAGAAGAACTGCTCTGAGAATTATTGCCCAAGCTATTGGTAAGAGTGTATAGCATTTAGGACAGCAAGAAAAATACCATCTCAGTGCACGTACATATGTAGCTATGATATTTAGATAATACAAGCATTGCTTCCTAAGTGAAATGGGCTCTATCACAAACAGAGAGTATCCCTAGAAAATATCTTACCATCAAGTATCATCTACTTAAACAGAAGTCCCATCTGCCGCCTACTGAGTTACTCTATAATAGCGGTTTTCAAACTTTTTGGGCTCCAGAGCCCTTTACATACATAAAAATGTATGTGGAGCCCAGCGGTCCACTGACTGTATGTGTTGTACCTATCAATGTTTCCAGTTTGTCAACCTCGCGGAACCCCTGGAGATGTCTCGCGGACCCCTGGGCTTCGTGGAGCTCAGTTTGAGAAACACTGCTCTACAATGTCTGCCATCCATGTATGGCCAGGCTTGGTCCTATTTAGAGAAGACTGTAGACTGCAGGCTGAAGTTAAGATTTACACCACTTTCTGTTTTACTGTGAAGTCAGCTTTGGGGCTCATGAGAGTCCTTTACCCTTCAAGCCAGTTTTGCAAGTGCTGCTAATTCAACTAGGAGCCAATACAATTCAGCCAGCTACAGTGATTTTTGTTGCAGCTTTACAAGTCAGCTTTGTTGCAGCTTTAGAAGTCAACACAGAGTTTGGGCCCCTGAGTTTCAGGACTATACTCTCTTTCATGAATAATGTCTGTTACACTGTTGCGTATGACTGTTCAATGGCCAGAGCATATTTATTACTTAAAATCAATGTATTTCTACAACTGCTTTGAGAAATCTTATTTCCCAAGCTCCACACAAACTAAACATACGCTGTTTCTCCAATGGGTACATAAATCCATTCTGGAAGCCGAATTTTCCTCCATTTTATTGGAGTCACAGTGAGGGCAGAAAGGGCTGCTTTGTCTAGATAGTTTTAATGCCCTGTGGGAGACAAATGAGAGAAAGGGCAAGAGATTCTATATCCCTTTAAGTTATTTATAGCTGAAACCTCAAATTGCAGAATAAGATGGTAAACCCATCACAAGGAGAAGGATGACACATCCATCCTCCAAACTGCCAAAACGATGCAATTAAGATGACGGAGCCCCGCAGAGCTGTGCCTCAGAATTCAACTCTGAAGTATGGACGTTTGAATCTTCTTGTACTGTCACTCCCCTGATGAGACTCGTCAAGCCAACAGGAATCCACAGAAATACCAACATCTCATCACTGGGACACTGCCTGGTTTTTTAGGGTGTGTCTACACGGCAAAGTTATTTCGGAATAACTGCTGTTATTCCAAAATAATTATGCGCGTGTCTACACAGCAATTCTGTTATTTCGAAATAATTTTGAAATAACGGACAGCTTACTCCGATTCTGTAAACCTCATTCTATGAAGAATAACGCATATTCTGAAATTGCTATTTCGAAATAAGGCGTGTGTAGATGCTCCACTTCTGCTATTTCAAAACAGCCTCTCACCAGGCCCATTCTATGTTATTCCTCCTGGGGCTCTAAATCGAGACAGCACATCTACATTAGGGAAGCCTGCCTCAGACTAATTTTGAGGCTTCCCCATAGTGTATACGTGCTATTTTGAAATAAGCTATTTTGGAATAACTATTCTGGAATAGCTTATTCCAAAATAACTCTGCAGTGTAGACATAGCCTTGGTGCTTAGTTTTAAGTCTCACTTCAGGCAACTTTGGTGACATCTAAAGGGATGCTGCAAAATTTAGCTCCAGACTCCCCCAGAACATCGCTTCGTTATGATCCAAAATTTAGGTTCAGTCTGCCAGATGTGAAGTTCAGATTTAACCTCTGCCAAAATATAAGAGTGTCTGGATCTGATGTTTTGATTCATGCCCAGATATTGGTTATGTACCACAGGTAAATTTATACCTCCCTTCCCAAGTGTAGTCTCCCTTTTTTGAACCTGCCTCCACGTGAACATGGAAGACAACCCCCTTGACATAATCAGCTTCTATACAAAATATATGCAGAGATCTAATGTGTGACATTTCCTTCTCTTAGTATCCTCAAGCACCCCCAAGCATGAGGCTCGGTTCTGTCTGAGGGTGTGTCTAGACTACAGGGTTTTGTTAACAAAAGTTGGCTTTTGTCGACAAAACTATACCTGCATCTACACTACCGCCGCGTTCCGTCGACAGTAAGTCGACAGAATGCGGCAGTTTTGTCGACAGCGGTAAACCTCATTTTACGAGGAAAAACACTTTTTTTTCCCGAACGTACTTTCAAAAAAAGGCACTATTGCATACAAACTGTGCTTTTTCAAAAGAGCATCTAGACTCTTTTGAAAAAGCAGCTCGCTTTGTCGACAATACTGATCATAGTCTAGACGCTCTTTTTCAACAGAGGCTGTGTCAACAGTATCTGACAAAGCCTCTGTTGAGAAAGGGATGCAGTCTAGACGTAGCCTGACAGAAGAGCTCCATGAACCCACCAGATGGGGCCAACGATTCTGATGCATTCAGAGCCCACCTACCCCAACAAGGATGGAGTACCAAGCACTCCTGGTTCTAGCTAGCCTAGGACCCAGACCCACATCCTTTATGTTGCATTCCCACTATGTTACCAGGCTAGCTCCAGGATTATTACTTCCCATTTCAGGACCTTTGTCAAGGTGGCTGATGTTTTCTCTAGTCACAGGCCCCACGAAGTAGATGCAAGAGTTCAGCAAGCTGGCAGAAGCAACAGACTGCTACGGGCAAAGGCAAGGCTGCTTCCATCCTGAACTGCAGAGTGACACACCTCCAGGCCTCTCATGCATCATATTTATACCAACCCCAACATCTACTGCAGAGCACCGGTGCTTTCTGGGATACTCACTGACTGAGGAATGCAAAGAGGTATCTCATTACAATCAGAGTGGTTTTAGGCAAGCTTAGCAGGACCTTCCGGATGTGTAGAGCTCTTTCTTGTAAGTTATCCATTGCTGAAAGGAGGAGAAAGCACCATACAGAGTTATTACATCACCATGGCTGTATCTGAATTCCCTGAAGCTGCATGTTAGTGGGCTGCATGAATTATTGGAGAGGAGCCAAGAGACAATACCACAGAATCTTGGGGAAGGAAGGGGCTGCCTGCTTCCTGTAACATGTATGATGTGTTCTCCAGAAATCCCTTCAAGAAGGATATAATGTATACATAACCTGATCTGCAAAGCCATTCATTGTCAAGGTGCATGGTATGTGTAATCTATCAGCAGGTTCTTTTACAGTGTGGGTGCACAGAGTGATGTCTGTTTAAATACAGCCAACACAATAACTCATTCCAGTTAGCTACAAAAGGTGGGTGTTTAACAAAAAAACATGTTTGGTCTGACTCAGAAAATAGATCTTCATAGCGGAAGGGTGAGTTAAAAGTTCTGGGTGCAGCAGACTATTGAGGGAAGAAAAGGGGGCAGCATAAATCGGCAGCCTTGGAAGGATGAAGTTATTTCTTTTCATCTAATATGAATTAAGCTTTGTAAAGTCATTTACTGTGAGAAGAAAACCATGAGTTGTTTCGGAAGCAGTTATCTTTGCCCCACTTCAAAGGCTGCTGCTGATGGCTATTCCACTGCCCGAACAATAGAGTCATTCTTTGCTGCTGAATGATTTGGCAATAATGGGACCATTTAAACTTGGTTTCCAAGAAGATAATGAAAAAGCTTTGAAATAAACCAAGCTGTTGATACCTGGAGTGAGATCCCTCTCACATTCTATATTCGGCACAGCGCGCCCAGAAGGAACCTTCCTTGTGGTTATGGAAGAGTTATTCAGACAGGCCAAACAACACACAGCATCTTCCCTTTCGGAAATACCCAGCATGCACCAGAAGAGATACAGTGTATGTACACAGTCACCAACACTGGGCATAGCAGACTGGTCAAAGTTCAGGAACAGTGGGCTTCCCAGAGAGCAGCTGTGAGCACCTTCTGAGCTGAGGCCTTAAAAGGAGCAGCAGGTGCAAAACTGTTTTTAAAAAACTACGTATGAAGCTTTGGGTCTGAAGGTGCTGTGGCCACCCTCTCGGAAGCATGCTGCTGTGGTGCAGATCCTGAGTGGTCCTGATTTAATTGTGTTCTCTGATTCACTTTTCTGAATAGGCTTTGCCATGAGATTAAGGATTGCAGCATTAAAAAACCAGCTGAGCAGTCCTAACCTTGATGGTGGCTGGAGCACAGAGCCTAAAACAGATTAGGATAAATATTCTGGGAAAGGCGGGAGATGGGAGGTTCAAAAAAGGCTCTGGGATATGATGGAAAAATCAAGTCAGCATTTTTGATGCAATACAAAGTTTGATTATTACCATAAATTGATCTTTTTTTGGGTAGGGAAATGGGGAGCAAAGGATGGAGAGACCTGGGGGGGGGGGTGGTCTTGCGTTGTAAAGGGTCTTCTTTTTTGCAGGGCTTGCATTTAAGTAGCACACACCATTCCCTCATCTACTTACTGACACAGGCAACCAGATCATGAAAGATTTCCTTCGGGAACAGAGGGTGCTCCAGCCCTCGGAAGTAGAGTTTCAGAACTCCCGCTATAGAGTCCATATCATGGTCATTTTGGTCTCCAGCTAGTGGATCCTCTCCTAGTTACAAACACACAATTAAGAAGAGGTAGGAAGAGTAAGATCTTTGGTAGTCAGAGGGTTAGTCTGCTCTGCTAGAAGGATAGGTCCCAGCCAGAGAGAAGAACCCATGTGATCCAAGGGTTACTCCCTGTCTTCTCCCTCCCCTAAATACTCAGCAGGCAATGGGAGTATGACTGGTATTTAAGGGGTGGCTTTGCCAATCAAGAAAGGTCCTTGGCAGTCATCCTCTGTTGCTGAAGAGGCTGGATGCTCCCAGTCAGGCAAATAAATGGGTTGACTGTCATCTCACCCCCACCCAAGGAGAGTACCCCTCATCCATGACAATTACTGCGGGAGCTGTGGTAATTTTGGTGGGCTCTGCAGTCTGGGTGCTTTTTGTGGGAGGGAACAGACCCAGCGTTCTGTTGGGTTACAGGAGGTAGGGAGCACGTGACCATAAATCCCTCACTGCTACGCAGTACTGTGACTCCCTCTAGGGTTGATAGAAGGCCTGTACAGTAGGCCAATGCTTGGGTCAAATGCTACCTTTACAAGTCTTAGGAGGAGACATGTGCTGGATTGGTTAGAAAAAAAGTTTGATATAGTTAATTTGTGACTGTATCTATACTGTTGGTTGTCTATTAAAAAAAAGACGACGACGACGACGCCACCAACTGAAGGAGCTGTTCCCTATTGAAAACTCCCAATCAAATACAATTAGATTTAATGATGAGGCAAACTTCAAATCAAAGCTATATATATCCATTATGTGATGGATATTACCAAAGCTTGACTATTACTTTAATAACATACAGGATAATAAATGGTCCACCATGCACCAGAGCATTATCTTTGATATTAACTGCCACCAAAGGTTCTGGATGAAGTAATAAATTGCACAGACTTTATTGTTAACTCTGTCAGTTCTGTATATCATTCTCTTTAGAGGAACAGGCAAAATGAAGCTAAGAAAAACAAGGTCATTCTTTGTAGGGTGGCGTTACTGGAGTAACTAACTGTTTTCCCTGAGATGTCTGACAGCTTTGCTACTTGGGAGTCTGGTGCTGGAAGCCCTCAGACCTACCACACATGCATTTCCCTTGTTCTCCGAGGTACTTCATTCTTAGATAAAAGACAAATGCACTGTAGCTCAACCACCTCACTGTTAGGCCAAATAAGATCATATCCATCTCTCTCTCCCTTCACTGATTTGCTGTGCTCCCACATCTGTGACATGGGGAGATATGAGCATGAAGCGTATGTGGTGGCAGAACCAGAACTCTGACAAGCAAGAAGGGGACCACAAACTGCTCGGAATAACCTGAAAGGGAACTTTCTCTCTGGTGACACTGTGGGTAGGGAGACGGGGTCAGACTGAGTTGCTGGGTCAGAAAGCATCCAAAGGGTTGCTTGTGCATAAGGCCAATCCTACCGATGGGCTTAAAAAAAACCGCACCACCACCAAAAGCCCTCCAAATGAGAGCCGAACAAACAGTGAATTGAAACCGACTCTTTCACTTACGGTGATTATACTAAATGTGGTCACATTGCTTCATAAGACATGCCGGGGCAAGAAATCCCACCCTGGGTATGGTACAGAATAGAGTCTATTCCCAAAATGGAGGAAAACAGACTATGTAGTTAAATGCAAAAAGGAAATGCTCAACACCTCTGGACATATGCACACTCATTAAACAATCAAACATGACAGGTGCCGAAATTCTGAAGGATTATTATACGGCCATGTTGCAAGACACAAAGCTTAACATATCAAATGGCTTTCTATGTTCAAGGGTTGCGAGCACTGGAAAAATTCTATGTCTGGAGTCATTTACAAAACGTGGAACGGTTAAAAAAACCTACACAAGACACCATCAGTTGTGTCCAAAACACTGGAAGTATTTTAGAATGGCAATGCTAATACATGTGGTGATTGTGACACACACAACACATCCTTCTCACCTCTCTCAAATGCATTTTTTATATCGTTAACCTCCACTTGTGATCCAGACACTCTGAATATGCCTTCATGCTGTAGCCCTGTAAGACAATAAGAGAATCCCACAATGGCAGTCAAAGCTTACAACTCAGTTCTTCAACTGGCAAAGTGATATTGTATAGGAGATCTGGAAAGCTTAGATTCTTATTGGTGTCAGTAAATTTATCTCACTATACACACACAAACCATTAAAACTATTTCCAATGATAATAATTGAAATTTACCAATAGGCAAAAGAAGAAAAACGCTGCTTGAGAACTTAGATTTAAGAATATCTACTTTAAATATTTTGGCATGTGATGTTTACAGTTGACTTCACACCGTTTATAAATGCTTTGAATTTCTAAATTTCAATGTGTACTGTCATTAAATCATCTGATCCTGCCATAATTTTACACAGCTGTGAAAATTCTGGTCATTTTTTTAAATGCTTAAAGCCCATAATTTTATGCAACTGAAAATTTAAAATCATTTTACACTTAGAAAAGTGTAAAAATAAACATTTGATATCATCTGTTGAAATTTTAAAATAAAAAAAATCATATTCTGCGCAGGCTAGGCACAGTCAGGGTAGGGTCCCATTCATCTACAACATTACAACTGTGCCAATAAGAAGGACAGGCCAAGTTCTTTTGTACCCTTTGGAAATTTTGCTTCTGCAAAAACCTAAGAGTACAATAAGGAATAAAAGTGTACATAATTCCTCTTCCACATCAGAAAAAACACTGAAAACTATTCATTTCTCAGCCATGAACAGTAGAAAAATAAATAGTGCCTTAATATTTTGCCAATATTTTAGATCTTGGAGTAAGTACTCTGTAAATAAACTTAGATACAACCTATATACTGAATCACTTCATTTATGCATCCACTCCTGGGGTAGAACACAGTAACTTTTTATTGTTTAACAGCAACATTAGAAAATAGGATAAGAAGTGAAGAACAACTTATTCATTTGAATTACAGAAAATAACTTCCCAAGCACTAATGTGACTTGATATTTGAGGCTCTAGGGAAACTTTCAGGATATTTCAGTAGAATGGTTAAGTAGTTTAAATCATTAAAACTGATGGAAGCAAGTAGTCAGATTCCAATCTATTACTGTAAAACCTCTCTGTTGGAACATGAAATATGAGCAGCAAATGTTTAAAACATTCTAACGTATAAAATAATTCCAGGATAAGGAAATGGTTGTTTCTATTAAAGTCTCTGAATGGGAGCAAGGAGTTTGTGGCCGGCTCGTCATATTATTTACGGTACTATTTTAATCACCAAGCAATGACTTCCTTGTGTTATGTGGCTCTTAATTACTACTTGTGTCACCAACACACATATTCTATTGCACAATGAAAATATATACCCAAATGCAGCAAAGTGAGAATGAAAATGGAATCAATCCACTATCTATAGGGAAAACTTTATTTAAAAGCATTAATTTAGATGTAAGCTGCAATGACCATATTACAGAACAAAACTTTAACGGGTCAAGCCATCAATTCTTTATCATTCTCCCTTGACATGGATTTGTATGCGAAGCGCATACTTTTCTAATACCAAATTGTTCTATCCTTTGCATATATTTTATGTAGTTCTCCAAGAGGGAAAAGCTAGATAGAAATTATATAATAGTTTCCAAAGTGCAATAGTGATTGTGACAAAGGTAAAGTACAACTGGGTCTATCTGGCTCTGTGTATTAGTTAGATGAAAACAAACCCCATCCCTATGAAAGCTTACTGACTAGCAGTCTGTCTTCGTGCTATTATTAAATACTGTTTAATTAAAAACACACACCTACACACACACACACCCCCACCCACACCCCCTTAGAATAAAATGCACGGCACTTATCTAAAAAAAGATAGATTTATCTTTCATTAAAGCAAATAAATCTGCACCTTGGCTTCCCTAAAGGGCCACATGAATACTGTGGGCCAGTTACAACTCTAGAGAAGGGAAACCTGCAGCTAGGCAAGACAGAGATGGGGAGAAGGGGTGATGACCTGACAAGAAATCAAGCTGTTCCTGTGCCTGTAACATTGCCCCAGATGAAGTGATCATCCTCCCAGGTCATGCCAGACTGAAGTCAAGACGCTATTTGGAATGAAACCCAATAAAAATTCAACACTTCTTCTGTAGCAAAGAAACCCCACAATGGGAAGGAAGGGCACATGAAGGAGGCACTGTTTAATGCACGGCATTTTCCATCTTAAGGACCTGCAGTAGCCACTCTCTCTTCCTATGCTTAAGATACACAATAGTGCAACACCACTGACCTCTTCTGACAGGACAGTTCTTAGTAGCACCGACTCTGGAATTTCAATACAAGCGCTTTGTACCAGGCACCTCTCAACATCCGCAGGAGACAGCCCCACACTGAAGTACCCTTGTGATTTATTTAAATTAGAGATGGATCAATTCAAGTTATGAAATTTGGGTGCGAACTTCCCTAGAGTTGCGGGGTGCAATCGAAAGCTTACCATACTGGTTCTTCACTAGGAGTTTAAATGTGCTTAAGAAGAGACCTGCGCCTGCCTTAATCTGATATGGGGCATTTAAAAAAAATGAAGACTGTCATCTGAACACTTACCATGTCTGCTAATGAATCGTATGCAGCTCTCCACCACAAGGGGAATGGCTTGGCTGGAGTCCTGAGCAACCAAGGGAGACAGAATCAAGCACAGAGGTGACTGAGAAATAAAAACAACGCAACTCTGAAATCCACAAGCAAACTTAATGGAGCAATACACCTTCTGCCAGGGGCTGGGACCACACCTGTCCACAGGGCCTGAAGTATATCAAGGAAGTACTATTTGGTCTGTGAATTATCCTAGAGACAAAACTGCCTTCTGCAGAGATGGGAACGGTCACCCCAAACCAGGAATAAACGTATCAAAGTGCAATGAAAAAGCATCAAGTCAAAACCAAGGATCGACCATTTTCATCTGGACTCAGTGCAGATGTTATTGGAGCGCATTAACGTCTCTAGGGACGGCTTCATGCAATGCCTCTGGAAGCAGTGATGCTTCAGCACCAATGGTATACAAGCTCCTTGGGGTCGGCCAGCTTCACTGAGTTCACTGTGAGGCGGCCAGTTGCTACGCTGCAACGACTTAAGTCTGCATAACGCTGGTGCTCAACTGGTGCATAAGATACCAGGAAAGGAATAGGAGGGAAAAGCTACTATGCTGTCCGCTCATCTTGTGGGGGGCATGATAAAGAAAGCTGGGGATCTCTGGCTGAGGTCTCTTCAAAGTCATGGCTCCAATGTCCATGATTTCCACTTATCCCAAATGTGACAAATCTTTGTTTGGCAGAACAAGTTCCTTTTATTTTACCGAAGAAACATTTTACCCAACACATGCTCACTGAGCTTGGGGCTAAGCACTGAGAAGAGCAAAAGCACCCGCTCACAATGACAGCTTGGAGTTCAGGGTGTTCTCTGGGCCACAACACAGTAAACAACGTTTTTTTAGTAGGGACGTCGACAGCTTCCGCACACCCTTGGGCAAGATGGGGAGGCCTAGCGTGAAAGGGGAGGAAGCGGGGGCAACCAGTCCCCTCCACAGCCCAAAAAGTGACGCTCCCCTCCCTCAGCTCTGAGAGTCGCATGGAACGCGTGGGGCTCTGGCAGCAATTTAAGGGCCCATGACTCTGACCCAGGCCTCTGCTGCAGTAGCAGTGTTGGCAGACAGGAGCCCCGGGCCCTTTGGAATTGCTAGGCCATGGGGCTAATGCTCCTTCCTTCAGTGATGAAGTTGTGCAACAGGCAAACAGGTCATTGCATTACTGTAGCCCCTTTCTTCAGAGGATTGCAAAATACTTTGCCAACAATTCGAGTTCAGCAGTACCTGTGGGAGGTAAGGTGTAATCACTCCCATTTTAGAGAAGAGTAAACTAAGGCACAGAAGTTAAGTGGATTAGTTCAATTAAAAAAATGTTTAATGATTTTCCTTTTAGTGGGCTGTATAACACCTTTAATTTGTAGATTCCAAGGCCAGAAGGGACCCTTGTAATCATCTAGTCTGACCTCCTGCATAAGCCAGGCCATAAAATTCCCCTAAATAATTCCCAGAGCAGAT